CCTACCCGCCGCCGCCGCTCGCCGAGCTCCGATTGGAGCGCGGGCACGTCACTCCGGGCGCCGCAGCCCATCGGAACGCGTAAGAGCGAGCCTCTCTTCTTCTGATAGGTCCCTGCGGCTGACAAGGCCCACCCCCTCCCGCTCTCCAACCGCATCCGAATCCCCCCATTGGCTCCTGAGCGCAGCACGAATGGGTGCAGGGCAATATGCAAACTCGCTTTTCTACCTAGCAACAGTGACCCATCGAGAGTTCCTATTGGACGCGAGATTAGCGCGAGCGGCTATTGGCCACGGACGGCATTTACCGCAGCGCGGTTACGGCCTTTGGGCCCAGCAAAGTTAATTTGCGTAATATTGCAAAGTTTATTTGAAACGTGTACGACGCCATTTTATTATGTGGGGGTCACTAGAACAACTCCTGCTCCAGACGCCTTCATACAGTGACTTAACAGCAATGTATCTGAAGTCAAAGCTGTCCACAGAAAATCCTTGCGTTTGCAGGACAGCTGGTTTTGATGATTCCCACTCTTCAAGATCTCCTGCAGTTTCTCTGCACAGCATGTTTACCCTTCTTCTTGGGCCAGAGTTCTGCCTTTCATCCATTGCTCTCTCAGCCCCAATGTTTTGTCTGCCCAACATTGCCTTCTTGCCTGGCCTCCTTCCAGTGAAACCCAGCACATCATTTTTCCTTCCTTTTAATAGCAAATGTACAAATTCAATTTCATCCCTGCCTTTGTCCCTGCATTCCTAGATGGATGAATCTGAGACAAATCATCTAAAACTCAGAATTTCGCTGATGATCATCTAGCTGCTTATTCTTTCTTTTCTAGATTTCTTTGAATGGATTTGCAGAAGCTCTCAGCACTTTCTGTTGTTATTCACTTGGATGGGTGCTATGTTTTGAAAATCTAAAGGCTTATATACACCTATTAAGATTTTTTTTTAAAAAAAAGCTAACTAGCTACTTTGCAAAATTCATTTTCTATAAATCTCAGGTTTCAGGGCTCTGCTTGGGTTGAGCCTCTGTCTGTTACCTGATCCCACGTGTGTGTTTGGGTGCTTTGTGGCCTTTGCTGTGGGATTTTGAGCTCTTGCTGCACTGATCTGATAATTAAAAGACTGAAATACTGTGCACACTTGGGATGAGATTAATTTCTTTCCTTTGACATTCCCTAACCTTGAGGTTATTCGTTGATGTCTTCTAATTTTGCTAGAATATAATTTTATACTAGAAATAATGGAAAGAATAGTCCCAGACTTATTTTATATCTGAGGTAATTGCTTACCTACGAAAATAAGGGTATGTTGTTGATGGAAGATCAGTCAGTAAGCGCAGTCTATTCAGTGGTTAATTTTGGCTGCTCTCAATTCCCGATGCACTTCAGAAGAGTGACAGGAGCATTCAGTTGCAAAGAATTTCTTCCTACACACCATATGAGAAAATGAGAGTGGAATTGAGCAGGTGCATACAATTTTTTTTCCCAGGCTGGTAGTAACTGCTATGCTTAATAAGATGTAACCAGAAATTTCAGCCTCCATGACCTTAGGGATCATAAAGTCAAGGAATAATAGGTAAAGCTATTGCCTGGAGAGCATGCTTGTGCAGGCTGCCAAGGAAAGGAATGTATCAAAACTGTAAACAGGCAAGAAATAGGAAGCAAGAGCAGTAAGTTAAAACTTTCTTTGTAAAGAAATAGAGCAGACACTTGTGTGTCCAGGCTTGTCTTTGTGTTCCTTGGTGCTTTCCTATGTGTCCGCTGCTTGCCTCCCCTTCTTATTTACTGAGACTGCAAATACATAGGGGCTGTCCACTTGCCCTAGGTTTATGCAGCACAAGGGAAACAGAGTGCTCTTCTTAGGCTCTGCGTCAATAATGATTCTTAATAAATCATGAAAACTGTTTCTAAACCCATGAGTAAACTGAGGATTGGCAAAAGTGGTTTGCAAGAAGGGGCAGATGCAATCCTCATTTGAGTTGAGCTGGATTGGAAACATCAAATTGTCCCATGAAAATCATGGCTCTTGGGCAGTATCAGTGGAGAGGTGAAAATGTCCCAACCTCTGAAGCTTTGCACTTAAACAGGCTCTCACTTCGGCTTTGCCACAGGGAAAGCGCATAGTTCATGTCAGATGGAGTTTTCCTATAGTATGAAGACGACTGGCAACTTTTTAATCTTATGATTATACTGTGTCCTTTTTGCTGTAAAAGAATATATTGCTATTTGCTATGATGCAGATACACAGACATTTCAAGAAATAAAAAATGTCCCTTAAAAGCTCTTCAGCTCTTGTGTGCAAGCTTCACCTCTTCTGCAATTCCACTGAGTAAATTTTTACAGAAATGTTTGACAAAAGATTTAACTTCAACTTCCCTGTAATTAATTTGGCTTATAGAAGAATAATTTGCAGGATTGGGTTGTACGTGCCATTGCTCACCCTGTGGTACACTGCCATATGTAACTCTTTTACTCATGATGCTTCCAGCACTTTCCATATTCTCTTTAGCTCATCAGTTAGCCTGGCCTCAAGCTGTATTTTATCCCGTTAATCTTTTTATCTTTTCTTTTTATAAATCAAAACATCCACACTAAGAAGCCTTTCTTTTTTTTTAATATTCTGCTCTGAACCCTCTCCAGTCAGTCAATATATTTTAGTATTTAAGTATCTGAAATAGCAAATCATTTCTGAACACATCCTCTGAGGAACAGGATTTATACAGCTATTGTCTGTAAATGTTGATTTTCAGATGCAGGCAAAACACCATATTGACTATTTAAGGGAAACTCATATCTCTTAAGTGTATTTCTTTAGACATACTAATCTCACTCTTTGTACAGAGGAGTATAAACGTGTAAAATGTCTGTCCTTTCCCAGAAACTCTTGCACAACTCAGCTTGTGCCAAGACATAATACGATCAGTGAGTATAATTAGACATTTCAGATATTGTAAAATGAACACCTCATCCCAGAACTGTGGAGCCGGGATTAGGTATAGGCATGGAGAGGCATTGGCTGCCCGTGGAAAGCGGTATGAACACCCCAGGAAAAAACACAGTAAATTAGTCTGCTCAGGACAGATGCCTTAGCGTCATTGTGTTCCTGGGCCTCTGCAAGGAGCAGGGCCTTCCCTGCTGTCCTTGAAGTAGGATAGATACGGTATTTTACTCCCTTACTCACACAACTCTATCCAGAATCAAATTATTTCCTTCACAGAAGGCAGTCCCCCATGAGCATCTCTCTTAAAACACAACTGTTTTCAATGTTCATCATAATTAAACACACCCAAACACCCCATAACCCTGCTGGCATAAAAGATAAAAGGGGGAAATAAGTTGGCTATGGGCTTATAAGAAACAAAACTCAAGGAGCTTCTTGCCCATCAAGCCCAATTCCTTCCTGAGCTCCCAAACACATGATAGGCTCAAAGGCTGCAAATCCTGGCTCCCACCTTCTGCGAAGGCTGTTCCCTGCCTTCTGTTGTTGAAGAACGTCTTTCATTTGGTGAGGGAGCAATTTAATCAGTTCCAGTCTAATTAGTCCTCTGCCAGGTTGGGGCCCTGGGCATTAGTGGCTTCTTGCTATTTTCAGTTCTTGCCTGGTTACATCTAAAACCATGGGAAGACTGGAATATTTTTATTTTTGAAGGTACCATGTCTGAGAACAGGAGAGACAAGCAGTTACCAGGAGAGCAACCATTACCCTGAAACGACCAGGCTTCTTTTCCTCCACATATGGAAATGGAGAACGGAGAACAAAAATCACTTACTACCATTGAGGAATCTGGGCACAAAGCCTGCAAATCAGATCTAGTAAGACTGTACTACCATTAAAGCACTGAATGAGAATTTCCTGGAAAAGGAGTGGGTGATTCTTGCCCCTTTCAGTATCCGCTTTCCCTAATTTCTCAGCATCAGTGAACGCTGTCTGGATTGACCTTTGCACCAAACGCTTAGCTCGTGGAATGTTGTAGAGGGAGCTACTTCTTGGGCTGTCAAATGACTGAATGTTGCCCGTGTGCTGAGTGAGTGCCACCACTCAGCCATCAATCATGCCCCTCTTGAACAGATCTCAAACTGTGCCACAAACCCTGTTAGGAATTGTTGCCATCTTTGATAGATAGAAAACCTGAGGTGGGGATTTGCCCAAGGTTAAGCACAGACCATTGGCAAAGCAGTGCTCAGGCCCATCCTAGGTTCTTGTCTAGCATCCTACTGCTTGACAGTATTAACATCTGAGTAATCTTAGCCTGTTCCCCTGGGCGCTTTCACACACATCAGGATGGAGGCCCTGGATCTATCTATCCATGGGATGCCAGTGCTCCTAAAGAACGCGCCATCATCTGTCATGTTCCTTTAGGGCTTCCCTCGAAGGAGAAGAAACAACCTTTCAGCAGGGTCCCAGCCACTCCTGCTGGCTTGTGCAGATGAATGGTTGCAGTAAGATACGCTGGAGGTGGTATCAGTGCATCTTCATCTGCAACAGCGGCCACTTAAAGATGTGCTGCTGTCAGTAGGGCTAGCCAGCCTCTGTCCTGCTTGAGGAGATTCTGTTGTTTTAAAATGTTTGACTCGTTATGATCAGTGTCACTCTGTGGATCAGATCAGCTGCAATGAAAAATAAAACCACATTTAGTGAACAACAAATATTGGCAGTGCTTCTGAAACAGGCCAAGGGCTTATTGAAAAGAATATTGATTGAGCCAAGAAAACATCAAGCAGTTATAAAAGTTTAATCATATTCTCATTCAAGCCTGCCTTCAGTGCCAGGAATTAAAATTCTCACATCTCCTGAGGACTGAAGATACATTTCCATAATGTTCTGTAAGTTCCAGAGCTCTGCATCTGTACAAAATGGCAGAATTATTCATTGCAAATGATTTAGCTGAGATACGTAGCTCTTTATACTGTGTGCTTACAAATTATGCATAAATAAGCTCAGTGGCTTTTTTTTTTGTTTTTGAATTTATTTCTCATATGCAGTTGTTTAACAAAGAGTTGGGCAAACCACTGTTAGCCGACAATTTTTGAAGTGCTTAAAGTAAATATTTGGTCTGCATGATTCACCAGCATAT